AGAAACAATAATGTACAGTATGTGGAAAATAATGTTTTTTTTTAACCATTAACCACATAAACATTTCATTACACCAAATACACAAAATAATGTTATTTTTTAGCAACGTCATATGACCCCTTTAAACATAGCTAAATTCAGCAAAATAGACGTAATCATTACTCCAGTCATCAGTGTCACATGATCCTTCAGAAATCATTCTAATATGCTGATTTGGTGCTCAAGAAACATTTCTTATTGTTTACAGTGTTGAAAACTGTTGTGCTACTTAATATTTTTGTGGACACTGACACTTTTTTTCCAGGATTTTTTAATGAATGGAAAGGTCAAAAGAACAGCATTTAATTGAAATATAAATAAATAAGAATAAGTAAAAATAGAAAGTTTTATTGTCACTTTCGAGTGAATTTAATGTGCTGTTGGAGCTCTACTGTTTTTTCATCCACTGAACACAAAAAGAGCAAATGTTTTCAACTCTACTTTTTGGTCATTTTTGGAGCGTGACAGCTTCTATGCTTTCATTACATTAAAAAAAAATGTTGTCTCTATGTGCTGTGTGTGTGTGTGTGTGTGTGTGTGTGTGCATGTGTGTGGTAGATTAAAAAAGGGCCTTAATTGAAGTCTACCCAGTCTTTATGCTCTTCTGTTCTTTTGAAAGTAATTTAGTCCTCCATCCTTCTCTCTGACAAGCTAAACAAGGACGGTCACTATATTTTGCTGTTTTCTCTCAGCTCAATCACAGCCGTCTATGTGCCTGCAGGTTTCAGATTCCCTTTGTTCCATTCCCTCTTTATTCATCTTTCATTTTACCCTCTCTTTTCTCATCTCACCCACTCATTCTCGCTTTGGGAAGTCTTTTGCTTGGTCCCACACTGCAAAGAAATGTTTTCTTAAAGGATTAGTTCACCCAAAAATGAAAATTAAGGTGTGTTTTACTCACCCTCGAGGCATCCTAGGTGTATATGACTTTCTTCTTTCAGACGAATCCAGTCGGAGTTATATAAAAAATTGTCCAGGCTATTCCAAGCTATATCATTGCAGTCAGCAAGTGTTGTAGTTGAA